ATATATATATATATATATATATATATATATATATATATATATATATATATATATAGTTTAAGCTACACTCTCAGAAAAAAAATGGTACAATGTTGTAGCAAAGAAGGTACAAACCCTGGTCACTGGGGCAGCACCTTTTTATAGAACAGAATTGTACCTTAAGAAAAAGAAACAAACTTGTACCATTGCAGTTTGTACCTTTAAGAACATGATTTATACCATGGGAAACCAAAATGTACTTCATCAAAGATACAAATGTTTTACCAGTTGTTTTGTATTATTGCATTATAGAACTTAATAATTATTGTTTATGAGTTTCTTTAAACATATGCTTTTAAATGATGATTCTTGTTTTAATATAGAAATTATTCATAAATCACTTTGCCTTTCCAGTAATATTTAATTTCTTAGATATTGTAACAAAGAAGGAGTTGTCCAACACTTATGTACATTCTCAGAAATAAAGGTACAGGAGCTGTCACTAGGGTAGTACTTTTTCAAAAGATACATATTAGTACCCAAATGTACCTAAAAAATATCTCTGAAGAACCATTATGGACATTTCAGGTACAAATATGTACCGTTTAAAAAGGTACCGCCCCAGTGACAGCTCCTGTACCTTTATTTCTGAGAATGTACCTTTTTATGAAAACAATTATGTACCTTCATTTGAATTGTACCATTAAAGGTACAGAACAGTATCATAAGAGGTCTTTTTTGTACCATATAAGGTACAACTTTTACAAAGGTACAAAACTGACCCTCAAGGAACATTATTTGTACCACCGTGTACCTTTTTTTCTGAGAGTGTACAATGTAAAAAATCTGTTAAATTTAAGATAAAAGATAGCATGGGATAGTATTTAAATGGTTAACTTATTAGCAAAGTTTCAGGAGCGGAACCAACCTAGCCTTCTTAACCAATCATCTACTCTCTAGTAGATGATCTATAGTAATCTTGTTCTCCTGAACCCACCGCCCTCCCTTTATTTTCTTGCTTTCCATTAGTAGGCCTACTCGGAATCTACGCACAGATTTCTGCAGATTTTTAGCCCATCATTGATTCTGTTTACTTGTAAATATGTGTAAATTCATATTTAATCAGCATTTAAATTATTTCAGTATAATTATTGTCTAATATGAAAATGTTTATAGGATTTATTTACAATGCAGTTTGTAAAGAAATATTTTCTGTCTTTTAGTAGGTCTATTATATGTAGGACTTGCTTTGTTTACCAAATAAAGTGGATCTAATTGAAATTGTAAACTTTAAATAAAAGTTAAAAAGGTATTACTTTTTATTTCATATATTAGGGGAGAGCGGGACACAAAGTAACACTTTTTGGATTTGGTCAAATAATGAACAAAGTAATAGGATTAGACAAACCATAGTTTTTTTTTTTTTTTTTTTTTTTACAACACACAAGCCTCTCCTACAAATGAGCACTGAAATTATGATCGCCGGACCTATGGTTTCTGTGCAGTATTGCCAAAAGTACTGGGAGTAAAAATGTTACTATTTACCTCACCTGCGGAGCAAGTTGTAAAAAACTGGGGGTTAGTTGTAACACATACATTTAAAGGCAGATTTCACACAATTTATTTAAATTCAGTTTACTTTAAATAGTAGCTATATTTCCTCAGCAGTTGGCTCATTTCTTTTTTTATTGTACATAGCATAATATGTTTATGTATATATTTGTTTATTGGATAAACACCTTTGAATCTATTTGCATTATTATCTGCTTATCCATTATTATATAATGCATTTATTTTCATTATTAGTGATCATTTTTATTTAAAAAGTTACCAACATTACACTCAAAATTAAAAAAATTTTTTTTTTTGAGTTTGTTTAATTGGTGTCCAACAGTGTGTGGATTAATTGAAACACCCTGTTACAATTAACCCTGCTGTGTCTTGCTTTCCTCAAAACTGGCTAGCAGTCAGTGTGTGTTTCTTAAATCTTTTAAAATGGTTCCATCTTTTAACCTAGAAGACGGTGATCACAACAATATACGATTTTACTAACATACTTTCACAGAATTTTTTTTTTTAATAAAAAATGTAGAGTACAATAAAAATACTTTTATGCTGCAAAAATTGTTTCTCCTGTGTTTCTCATCCATTTTTTTTTATTTGGTTTCTTAAAATTGAACAGAATGGATAAGTGAATAGAGCTTTTATTTTATTTTACCTTAATTTTTTCACTTGGAACTAGACAAACTCCCGTTCACATTCCTACACAGTAGGTGGCGATAGTTGGTGTTACCTGCCATAAAACAGAAAAAGAAGAAGAATGAAGCGATGTCATTTTGGAGGGAAGCAACAAAAGAAGCACCAGTGAGTATTAGCAACAGCTTCAGTGACTTTGCAAAGATTTGTTTGGTCAGGTGATTCAAAAGATGACATAAGATCTTCAACTCTTTATTTCTATCCTGTCAGATATCCAATATGTAATTAGCCAAGTTAGATTATTAGCAAGAATAGTAAGGTTAACTTGAGTTAACTTGAGCAGAGCAGATTGTATTTATAGAGTGGTGCCATTTTTTTAACAACATGGAGAAAACATAAAGGTGAAAACAAAAACAAATGCTGAAGGAAATGTCCGACTACTACTGTAGTTAATGACTACTGATTTTGCCCTTATAGGCCAGCCACAACATCTTGCATTTACAAATTCAGCTAAAGGCTATATTTCCTGGTTTGACAGAGTTGTGTTTAAGCTTTTTGGGACTTAAGGAAGCCAAGCTGTCAATCTGTGACTCATAATCATCAAATATCAAGCATGCAAAACCCACAGCACACATCATTTTTACATGAGCAAGACACATTATAGGACGCTGTATAACCGGTGTATTTATAACAAATCCGTACATACACTTCAACATTCTGATCTTTTTGACCAACTGCATCTCTGTTTAATGTCTATTGTCCTTTTTTTTATTTTTATTTTGTGTTGTCACTTGTCACTTTATGTACACTGGAAGCTTCTGTAGCCAAAACAAATTCCTTGTGAGTGTGAAGCACAATTTGGCAATACAACTGATTCTGATTACTTATTTAAAAACTGTAGTGTTCTGATCACAGGGTAATGGCTGACGTATTTTATAAATGTGTAAAAAAGCTAAGAAAACAGAATATGGGATTACATACAGTAGTTGTTAAATATGTTTGTTGATGAGTAAATATTATATTTAATCTGCTTCTTAACCAGGTTAACCTGTTGACCCAGCGGTGATATGAAGAAGTCTGCATAACCAGTGGATCTGATGTAAGTCACAAAATTTTCTTGCAACAGTGGCTTGAAGATTTCAGATTCAAAATAGATGCTTCATACTATATCAGCATACATTTAACTGCAGTTTCTATGTAAAATAAACACTAGGGGCAGAATGATGATAATAAATTTTGTTCATTTTCACACTAATGATATTTACAGCGACATATCATCGATGAATAAAGTATTATTTTTGTGCTTTTTTTGCACAACACCAAAGAATAATACAAAACAATGTAACAGCGTCTATAATTTGTAATCAAATATGTTTGCTGCACCAGTCTGTCTCCATATTGCCAACTTTTCTGCCATGGTCAATTTGCTCTGTAGCTCACCTTGTACGAGGTTGTACTTGGGATGCAGAGGTAAATCAATGTAAAATCGAGGTAAAACTACTTGGTACACTATTTGGTGGTTTTATGAAGGGGTTTAGGTCAGTGGTTTGCTTTGTGATCTGTACCACAAGCCCTGCCTGCTTGTGGACGTGTACAAGAAGGACGTGTGTCTGAAATGTATAACAAAACATATCTTAAGTCAATCCTTGTGTTTCCAATGTTTCTCTTACCACTTTAGACGTTTGTTCCAGTTGACTTTAAGTGCCCTGTAAAGGACTTTCTGCCATGATTCCTGTTTGAATTCATGTTCAATTCAAAAGGTAACATACACAGGACGTGACTTATGCTAATCACCTGATTATGGTTGAATGAACCCTTCAAACTACTGTAATATTTGAAAATGGTACAAACAGTTGTAGGGTCCTATCATACACCCGGCGCAAGGTGCGACGCAATTGTTGTTTGCTAGTTTCAGCTCGGCGCAAGAGTTATTTTGACGTTTTTTCACCGCGCTGCTTAAATAGCAAATGCATTTGCACTCATATGTGCGCCTATAGAAGCGAAGCAGTGGCGCAGTAGGTAGTGCTGTCGCCTCACAGCAAGAAGGTCGCTGGTTCGAGCCTCGGCTCAGTCTGCGTTTATGTGTGGAGTTTGCATGTTTTCTCTGCGTGGGTTTCCTTTGGGTGCTCCCGGTTCCACCACAGTCCAAAGACATGCAGTACAGGTGAATTGGGTAGGCTAAATTGTCAGTAGTGTATGAGTGTGTGTGAATGTGTGTGTGGATGTTTCCCAGAGATGGGTTGCGGTTGGAAGGGCATCCGCTGCATAAAAACTTGCTGGATAAGTTGGCGGTTTATTCCGCTGTGGCAACCCCGGATTAATAAAGGGACTAAAGCCTAGTTCACACTAGAGGATTTTAAGCCTGATTTGAGCCAGATTGGAAGTTAACTTAAGCCTGATTTGAGCCAGATTTGGAAGTTAACGAGCTCGCCGACAGATCGGGCTGTGATCGGGAAGAAATCTGCGGGTGCACGGCGCTCGCTGCTCTTTATGTGTGAACTACTGAGCAACGCATCAACGAGGCTCGCTGACGCGTCGCCGACACCTCGCAGACGGAAATCCAACATTCAGCATGCTAAATATTCCAGAGCAGTCGGCCGACTCAACCCCACGTGTGGTGAGATGTAGTGACGAGCTACAGCCAATGAGAGAGCATATCAGCATGAGCTGAATGCCTGTGTGTTCAGGAGCTCAGCAGAAACATCTGTGATTGGTCAGAATGGGCATCAGTGCACTCGCTTCATTCTGCGTTAGCACAGACATGAGAGTAGGCTATATTAACAGTGGAACTAGAATTCTGTAACTATTAGAATTACCATACTGCGCATTCTGACCGTTCTCATATAAAACACCATATTGTCACAACATATTTACATTCAAAGCTATTATTGAGATATTAAAATTAATGTCTGGCATCATATTTAATGACACCATTACCCTAAAAATAGGGTACCAATATGGTAATTTAAGGCAGAAATGCTCAGTTCTTTACTGTTTTGTAATAAAAAAATAACAATGTCAGAAAGAAATACACTGATAGTTAGAAAACGGCAGGGTGTTATAAATATGTTAGTTTTATTTCAAAGAGTTATAAAATTACAAAAATTAAAAACTCTCTGTGTATCTATCCACTCAAACCTTGCAGATGAGTGATTAATCCGCTCATAAATCAGCTGATTTGACGATGTTTTTAAATGCTTTCTCCAAAGCTTGAAAAGGTGTCAGTGATGTAATCAGCACACAAGCAGCCAATAGTGTTCAGCTTTTTCTGACGACTCCTCCCTCAAATTTTCATTGGCTGTGGTTTGGTAGCTTGAATGAGCTGAAGGGGAATGAGTTGTTGTCAGAACATGTAGTGTGTGACCCCCCTCTTGTGGATCATTCACAGAGTGTTGCATAGTGTGAACACCACAGAGATTAAAAGACACAAAGTCAAGTCATGTAGTGTGAACAGCACAGCAATCTGCTGATGTTTAAAATCCTGTAGTGTGAACTAGGCTTAAGCGGACAAGAAAATGAATGAATAGGCTTTCTGCTCTAAAAATGAGGCGTTTAGGCGTGTACACTGTTCAATAGACCAGCTTAGAGGAGGTCTAAGTCAAAAAATGTTAACGTTTTGAATTTATGTGAAAAACCATTAATGCCAACAATGCGAGATGGAATCACGCTTTAAAAAATAACCTTTGATATATTGAATATTACAACTATTTGACTAATAAGCTTTATCCATTGTGGTTGCCTTGTTTACTGTTAGTTGCCAGGTTACCAATACTACAGTGAGCTGCTCTAACAATCTGTCAAAAATGCACCTAATTAGCTTTTTCTTTTGCAAAATTATAAAAAAAATTTTTACATTACGTTAACCCAGTTGTTTCTGCCCTGTGCAAAATAATAGGTAGTTATTGTAGTTTTCTTTGTTTGAACTGCATTATGAGTACTTTGAAACAGTTCTTGAGTACTTTAAAATATAGTGATAAATACATTGCTGCAATACAGGTTGCATGGTGGTTTAGTGTTAGCAGCATTGCTGCCTCACAGGAATAAGGCCGCTGGTCCGAATCCCGGCTGGGCCAGTTGGCATTTGTGTGGAGTTTGCATGTTCTCCCTGTGTTTGTGTGGGTTTCCTTCTGGTTCTGTTGTTTTTCTGGGTGCTCCGGTTTCCCCTACAGTCCAAAGACATGCTTGGTGAATTGGATGAGCTAAATTGACCTTAGTGAATGAATGTGTGTGTGAATGTGAGAGTGTATGCATGTTTCCTAGTACTGGGTTGTGGTTGGAAGAGCATCTAGGGGGGTCTGGCTGCAGACATGGTACAGATGCAATTTGAGCTGCATGTAATGCTTTTAAAAGGGGTCAACTAACCCCACCCCCAACCGTCACAGTGATGTCACTAGTTCCATTGAGTGCATTATGTCTGACATTGCATCTCTAAGAGATGCAATCTCAGCTTGCATCATAAAGGCTGCTTTCAGATACTACTGAGGGCATCCCCTGGAATAGATGGCGGTTCAATCTGCTGTGGCAACCCCTGATATATAAAGGACTAAGGCGAAGGAAATTGAATGAATGAATATAGCTGCAACATAAAAACTACTGCTTTTAAGTTTATGAAAGTAAGAAAACTATAATGCATATTTTAATGCATTTTATAAAATATGAATTCTCAAAAAAATATGTTATCTCAACCATAATATTTAAATAAAAGTTATTGCAAATTTGAAGTTGATATCTCAAAAAATGTCTATAAGATTTAGTTTAACTTCAATTCAATTCATCTTTTTTTCTATAGCGATTTTACAATGTAGGTTGTGTCAAAGCAGCTTCACATAGAAGACTCATGTGTTGCGATAACCAGCGATCGTTCTCCATAGATCGCTGGTTCGCACACAATAACCTTGGACTACACTTCCGCCTTTTCCTGGACTACATATTCAGACATGCACTTCGCCCAGACACCCATGCTCACTCATCTAGACTGATTACACTCGCTACATAAGCCACTCATTCACCCTTTCAGTTTGCTGAGTCTTGTTTATCAGTTGATGACATTACAACGCGTTTTCCCTCTCTTGTTTTCCCATGTTTTACCTAGCCTTGTTTATCCTTGTTCTCCTGTTTAGCCGCCTGCCTTCTGACCTATTGCCTTTTTATACGACTACGATTCTGGACTGCCTGTATATACCCGTTTGCACCTGTTTTGACCATTGCTTGCCTGACAACGAATAAACCTGCATATTGGATCTTACCTTCTGTTGTGAGTGTCATCCCCTGTCGTAACATCAAGTGAACTGAAACAGTTCAGTTCAGAACATCAGTTCAAACTTTACCAACAGATGACTTTCAGTTTATACATACTGTATATAATGATTTAGTTAACATTTTTTTTGTGCGCTTATGTATAATATTTAATGGACAGATTTTTTTCATTATTTAAACATAATATTTTTTTTTTTTTATCAAAATCATATTAAAACTATTCTCATTTGTCTTTACCAGACATTATTGTACTAGTTATATTACAAGATACTAGTATTCAGCTTAAAGTGCAATCCCTTTCCATGTCTTTGGAAAGCAGTGGTTGTTTCAATTGAAAAATAAATTTCTTTAGGGGGCTAAAAATATTGAAAATGAATATATATATATATATATATTCCAGTCAAAATAAAAGAACAAATACTTTCTACAGAAAAACATATGTATTTTAGGAAATTCAGTGAAAATGTCCTGCTCCATTAAACATCACTAAACAATTCAAGAGAAAGGCAAACAATTTCAACTTCAACAATTTATAGTTTGTCATGATTGCTTTATGGTTAGACTACAATTTATAATGTAAATCCCACAAGACATAATGTAACAGCAAGTGCATTTTAATATATTACTCTTCATACTGTGCATACTGTAACAAAAATAGATGCAAAACATCACTGTATAAAAGGCTTGGTTTCACACAATCGATTTGTCCTGGGACAACATTAAGGAATTAAGTTAACTTATTCGCTTTTACAAATTTAAGTGGATTAAACATAAAACAGTCAAGTTCACCCCCCCCCCCCAAAAAAAAATAAAAAAATAAATAAATAAAATAAATAAAATAAA